GGGTGGGGGCCGGCTGGTTTGCCCTGAAGGGTGTCCCAGATCAGGGTGGGGGTCCCGCTTGGGTTCCTGGCCAGCCTGGATGAGGGGATGATGGCTGTTTGCAGCTGGTCACACCCCCTTTAGGGTGGAGGTCCCCACTGGGGTGCCTGGCCAGTCTGGGTGAGGGGCTGAGGGCTGTGTTCAGGCTGGCGGGGGACTGAAACTCCCAACCTCTCCTTTTTTTTCTTTTTTTATTCTGGGATTTATTTACCTTCTATGGCTGTCACTGGAGCTGAGAGCCGGCTTTAGCTCTGAGGCTCAGCTCCAGCTCTGAGACCTCAGGTTTGTTTGGCTTCTATAATTGAAACACTGTTGAACTCCAGCTCTGAGGCCCAGCTGGCTGAAAGCAGGTTTCTGGGGTTTGTTTAGCTTCTATAATTGCAACATTGTTTCTTAGACTGCAGCTGAGAGGCCGGCAGCGGCAGGCGGGGAACCTTGGCTTCCTCCATCACTGGAGCAAGCAAGCCTCCTGTTCGCTTCAGCAGCTTGGCTGCCGGCCGCCATGTTGGTTGGCAGTTAATTTGCATATCGCCCTGATTAGCCAATGGGAAGTGTGTCAGAGGTATGGTTAATTACCATGTTTGTCTATTATTAGATAGGATATTCATTTAATATTCATATTTAATTCTCATAGCCCTATGAGGCAGACCCATTATTAGCCCCATTTCACAGATAAGGAAACCAAGACACAGAGGGTTAGACAAGTTGCCCAAGGTCATTCAGCTGGACAGTGGTGTAGGGAGCCAATGCCACCCCTTCCATGATGCTTTCCTTCTTTGAGCCTCCCCATGTGTGAACAGCCTCCCTTTCCTACGAACTCAGAGATGCTGATTCTTACGGGGGTCAAAGCTCCCTCGCCAGGCTGCAGGTGCTTTAGAGTCAGAATCCCTGGCCCCCCACAGCGCCGAGCACAGGGCCTGGCCGCGCGCCGCCTTCCCCGGGGGAGTGCTATGTGAATGAATGGCAGTGCGTGGGTGAGTATGTGGATGAACCAACACACTGGTTAGTGAGGAAGAGAGGAGAGAGGAATTGGGATTTTCCCAGGTAGACAAGTGAACGCAGCCTGCTGGGAAGGGTTCAAGGGCAAATGCAGGGGCCCAGTGGGCTGGGAGCCGCCACTCTTCAGGAGCGTGCTTGCTGCTGGATGTCAGCACGGGCCAGGGACCTTGAGGGAGAGTTGTCAAAGGCCCTGTCTTCAGGGGCTTTTAGGCTAGGGGGGAAGATCACACAAGCACCCAGGAAGCCACGGAAGAACAGTGGCTACTGCCTGTGGCTGTGTCCTCCCGTGCACTCCTGTGTCCTCCCGTGCACCCCCGTGTCCTCCTATGCACTCCCTTGTCCTCCCGTGCACTCCCTTGTCCTCCCATGCACTCCTGTGTCCTCCCATGCACTTCCGTGCACTCCCGTGTCCTCCCACACACTCCTGTGTCCTCCCGTGCACTCCTGTGTCCTCCCATGAACTCTTGTGTCCTCCCGTGCACTCCTGTGTCCTCCCATGAACTCTTGTGTCCTCCCGTGCACTCCTGTGTCCTCCCATGAACTCTTGTGTCCTCCCGTGCACTCCTGTGTCCTCCCATGAACTCTTGTGTCCTCCCGTGCACTCCTGTGTCCTCCCATGAACTCTTGTGTCCTCCCGTGCACTCCTGTGTCCTCCCATGAACTCTTGTGTCCTCCCGTGCACTCCTGTGTCCTCCCATGAACTCTTGTGTCCTCCCGTGCACTCCTGTGTCCTCCCATGAACTCTTGTGTCCTCCCGTGCACTCCTGTGTCCTCCCATGAACTCTTGTGTCCTCCCGTGCACTCCTGTGTCCTCCCATGAACTCTTGTGTCCTCCCGTGCACTCCTGTGTCCTCCCATGAACTCTTGTGTCCTCCCGTGCACTCCTGTGTCCTCCCATGAACTCTTGTGTCCTCCCGTGCACTCCTGTGTCCTCCCATGAACTCTTGTGTCCTCCCGTGCACTCCTGTGTCCTCCCATGAACTCTTGTGTCCTCCCGTGCACTCCTGTGTCCTCCCATGAACTCTTGTGTCCTCCCGTGCACTCCTGTGTCCTGCGCACTCCTGTGTCCTCCCGTGTCCTCCTGCACACTCCTGTGTCCTCCCGTGTCCTCCCGTGCACTCCCGTGTCCTCCTATGCACTCCCGTGTCCTCCCACGCACCCCCGTGTCCTCCTATGCACTCCCTTGTCCTCCCGTGCACTCCTGTGTCCTCCCACACACTCCTGTGTCCTTCTGTGCACTCCTGTGTCCTCCTGTGCACCCCCGTGTCCTCCCGTGCACTCCCATGTCCTCCCGTGCACTCCCTTGTCCTCCCGTGTCCTCCCATGCACCCCCGTGCACTCCAGAGCTCTTTGCATCCTCCTTAATCCAGCCTCCATTTTAAGGGACTGACTCATCCTTAATACCCAAGAGGAGCCGCGGTCCCAGCCCCAGGTCCGCCTGTCCTGGGCCCCAGTCACACCCAGAATGCTTCTCTCCCTTGCAGGGAATACCAACAGCATCTTTGCCCTGGACTACATCAGTGGGGCGCTGACCCTGAATGGTCTGCTGGACCGGGAGAACCCCCTGTACAGCCACGGCTTCATCCTGACGGTGAAGGTGAGAACCCGGAAACCTCCCTCTGGGTAGAGGGGATGCCCACGCCGTGGTGCCAGCCTCCAGCAGCGTCCAAGGAGTTGGCTCCCAGGAAGCACATTGCTTCTGCACTCTCACCCTGTGCTGATTCCTGGGGCTCATGCCAATGAGTATCAGGTGTGGGCTATGTCAGGGGCCTTGCTGGGGACATAGTAGGTGCTCATCTCGTGGTCCATACTGTTATCCATAATTCCAAGTTCTCTGCTGTAGCCACCTCAGGTTCTTATGTTCACCCCATTTCTGGGTTTTGTCCCATTTCTAATTCTCAGGGCTTCCCTGGGGCTATTGCCTTGTTAGGAAACAGCAGTGCAGCAGGGAGGGGTGGCAGCCACAGCCCTGCCCTGCCCCGCCCCCCTCCAGCCCCTGCAGCCACCTGCCTCTCATGGCCAGTTTTAATTAAAATCAATGACTTGCTGAGCCATTCCCTGGGAAACCCATTTAGGGCATGGATCCTGCCTCAGTCACAGGGGTCTTTCCCAGCCCCAGCCTTCGACTGGCAGGAGGAGGTGGCACAAAACCTGAGGAGAGAACTCTGAGAAGTAGGCCCTTCCCTTGGTATGGGGAGGACGTTGCAGCCCAGCCTGGCTCCTAACTGCTCTCTGTGACCTTGAGAGGGCCTGGGGCAATGATGGGGTAAGGAGCCCCCTCCCACCATTGGCTTCTTCCTCTCCACCTGATGGGCATGTGTGGGCCAACACGGCCTTTCCACCACCAGCACCAAGCCCGTGGGCCCTTCTCAGCCTTCCTTCCTGTGGAGCAGCAGCTCCAATGGGAGAGCTGCTTCTTAGTCCCATGGCAGCCACCAACTCACTGCGGGACCCTGAGCTCGGTTGTCCATCTTTATAGAAAACTAGAGGCCCGGTGCACAAAATTCATGCAAGAGTAGGCCTTCGCAGCCACAGCGGCTGCCTCAATCCCATGGATGCAGCCCTGCTTTGTCTGGAAGGTCATCTGGAAGGACATCCGGACGGCCATTCAGTCGATTTGCATGTTACGCTTTTATTATTATAGATTTTAGGGGGAGGTTCCAAACTGGCCTGTGAATCTAGATCCCTTGGGAGCTGGTGAAACATGCCTAGTCACGGGCCTCTTGCCCAGAGATGCTGGTTCAGAGGTTGGGGTGGGGATGGGAAGGTATTCTGGGGCTTGGGGGCTTTTGTCTAGAGTAGGGGTGGGCAAACTTTTTGACTCGAGGGCCACAATGGGTTCTTAAACTGGACCGGAGGGCCGGAACAAAAGCATGGATGGAGTGTTTGTGTGAACTAATATAAATTCAAAGTAAACATCATTACATAAAAGGGTACGGTCTTTTTTTTTTTTTTTTTAGTTTTATTCATTTCAAATGGGCCGGATCTGGCCCGTGGGCCGTAGTTTGCCCACAGCTGGTCTAGAGACTGGACACCAAGGTATCTGATTCCATCTACTCCTGAGTCCCATCCAGACCCTCACAGTGCCTAGCACAGTGTTCAGTCCATAGCAGATGCTGAATTAAGTCTTGATTACATGACATGCCAGCATAAAAATTCTTGGCCTCAGTTTCATCATCTGCCAAATTGCATACTCTCCCTTTGCCCCGTGATGAGCCCCCAAATCTATCTTATCCTCTCCACCCCACCTCATCCCCTTGGTTCTAGAATCCTACTGCTTGAGTTTGACACCTGCTGTGGCTGTGTGTCCTTGTACAAGTTACTTAACCTCTCTGAGCCTCGGTTTCCTCATTGGTAAGTGGGGATCGTTACAATGGGAATGCTAATGATAGGCTCTCCTCCTGGGGCTGCAACCTGGGTATGTGCCCTGACTGGGAACCCTGAGAGGATGAGATGGGATAATTCACACAGAGAGCTGTGTCCAGCATTGAGAAAGCCCTGGGAAATGATGGCTTTTATTGTGAGCATGGCTGCCTTCATCCTGAAGTGTTTGTCCTCCATCTGCAGGGCACAGAGCTGAATGATGACCGCACCCCCTCTGACGCCACCGTCACCACGACCTTCAACATCCTGGTTATTGATATCAATGACAACGCCCCAGAGTTCAACAGCTCCGAGTACAGCGTGGCCATCACTGAGCTGGCGCAGGTCGGCTTTGCTCTCCCCCTCTTCATCCAGGTGGTGGACAGGGATGAGGTGAGTCCCTGGAACTATGGCCCATCTAGACCCACCACCCTGCCTGGGAGAGTCACCTGGTATCCCTGTGCTACAGCCCCGCCCCTGCTGTGTCTGAGGATAAATAAGGCTGCAAAAATCAGTGGTCTCTAACTTTTCGACTACTCCCTACCCCCTGCAAAAAACGTCTGAGTATACGCCTCCAGCATGTAGTTATTTATTTAGAAGCTATATGCATGATTGTTCTACTAATATAGTATGTGCACTATAAAACATATACCAAAAAATAGGCATTTTAAAGGGTAGAGGCTCTTGTATACCTGCTGACCTTGGGAGAATGTTTTATTCCTGCTTCCAGGGTAATCATGACCCTTCCTTTTCCATTCGAGGAGTGTTAGTGCTTTCAAGGAGATCCAGGCCATAGGAGACCCCAGAGGGGTCTGGGATGCCTGTATCCCCTTGCCCAAGGACCTACCTGGCTGAGGCCAGTCTTAGAAAGAAGGGACTTGGGCCTCAGTGAGGAAGAGGTCGAGAGGGACAGGAGGGAGGAGGTTCTGGGGCTAGGCTGCAGCCCCATGAATCCTAGGAGGCCCCGTGTCACGGGCCATGGGCCACAGGCCACGGGCCAGGCTCGGATGAGGCAGGCTTCTATGTGGATGGGCCCTCTCCCCTGCCTCCTCCTCATGGCCCCTCTCCCCTGCCTGTCACAGCCACAATTGTCAACAGGACTTCCATTTATTACCGCTGCTCCACCAGCCCACTCGGCTCAGGAATTCCATTAGGTTCCCAGCCCGAGGTCCTTCCTGCAACAACTCCTCACTCGGGGCTCCTGTGCTGGCCTGTCCAGGCCCAGCCCTCTCCTCGCTCCTCCTGCCCCCTCCACTCTGACTGCTCTGCAACCGCCCAGCATGCCT